AGGAAGGGCTCAAGGGCTCCAAAAGAAGCAGCCAAGTGAGGCCAAGCCTCCTCCTCAGGGAGACCTGCAGCAACCCAAACCAAACTGCAGGAAAATGTGGGATCATCCAAGGACATCCCTGCCTTCCACTGGGCCGTGGGACAGCTGGGGTGATCCTTCCCAGGATTCAGGAGATCCCCACTCATCCTCCCATGGCTTTTGGGCATGGCTGGAGCCTCCTCCCAGATCCCTGTGAGGCTGAGGGGTGCTGGACCCCAAAAACACAGAAAAAAGGGCAAAAATCCCTCTGCTCTGAGGGCAGGAGCTGGGAGAGCTGCAAAAATCCTCCAGGAGTTTCCCCCCTGACCAAGCGCAGCAGAGAGGCCTCTCCTGGAGGAGGAGAAGAGAATTCCTAGAGAATTCCTTGGGAAGAAGCTGCATCCCTCACAACCTGGGGGTTCTCCCCACTTTTTCCCTGGCAGTTTCACCTCCACCTTTGCAGGAAAATCAGAATTTATCCCTTCATTTCTCATCTCCCAGTGTGGAAACAGAGAGAGGAAAACGTGTGGGCACACACGGAGGGGGAGCTGGAAGAAGCCCAGGTACCATTTTTCAAAGGTGGAAGACTGGTGGGAACCCTGGATCTCTGAACCTTGCAGTAAACACCTTCCCCTGGCTGGGATTTTTTAGTTTATTCCTTAATTTCTGCACTGGAGCAGTGACTCCCCCTCCCCACTTCCCATTGGGTAGGGGGGCAAATCCCACAAGCAAAGAGCAAACCCCAACATCAGAAGGAAAAAACCCCTAAAAACCACATGTGAAAAAAAAAAATCCAAAAACACAAGAAAAATAAAATCAAGTCACAAGTGCACCCCCAGCCTTGAGGCTGAGGGAGTGTAAGACTACAACAATTTGAATTTCCTTGGAACATGCATTTCTCCAAAGTGAAAACCCCAAGTGAAAAACCCAACTCTTGGAGAGGAAAGAACCTGGCAGCTTCCCCTGGGTGAGTACCACGGAAAATCAGGGATGGAGATGCACAATTGGTTTGTTTTCTTTTTTTTTTGTTTTTTTGTTTTTTTTTTTTGGTTTACCTTTTTTCCCACCCCCCGGTTTGTTGTTCTTTTGTTTCCCCTTGTTAATTACGGTTAAAAAACCCCACGGAACTGACCCAAAAAAGGAAAAAAAACCACATGAAACCCCCAAAAAACCCCTCAATGAAGATACAGGCATGAGCAGTTTGACCGCAGCAGTGTGATCAGTTACTGGTGCTGGGATCACACAGGGCCCAGGTGGATGAGGACGAGGAAGAAGAGGAGGAGGAGGAGGAGGGGGAAATTCCAAGTTCTAAGGTCAAACAGAGGTCTCCAGGCTGTGGAAGGGGCTCCCGGGCTCGGGGAAGCTGAACTCGCTGTCCACGGCGTTGTTGTTCCTGTTGAGGGCCGTGGAGCCCCCCAGGCCGCCCCCACCTCGCTTTTGGAGTCCCTCAGGCTCGGGCTCGTCTTCGGCGCCGTCAAGGAATGGTGTCCGAGGCTCGTCTTCCTCCAGGATGAACTCTGGGTGAGTCATGAAGTTATGGATGGAGCTTCTGGATTCGGGTTTCTCGAGGCCTTCGTAGAGCGAGCTACGGAACGCATTCACCACTTTGATCTGGGCGGGCGTGGGGAGAAAAAAACAGAGGGTCAGTGCTGCTGCCACAGGGCAGGGCTGGAGGGAGGAAGTGAAATCAATGATGAGAGACAACCACCAAACAACGAAAAAAGAAAACAACGGCACGACCACAGCGACAAAATCACCACTGAACAGACAGCTCGGTCAAAAATGAGACATCTACGGTGAACTGGGGGCAGTCAGGCACTACGGGGGTGCTGGGGAGCCGCCAGCCTCAGAAGCTGCAAGAAAAGACAAAGGACGACTCCAAACCTCCCCCCCAACATCACCGGTCCGGATGGATGGAAGCCACGAGGCGTTAATTAGTCATTAATTGGTGTGGGGAGGGTGCGCGCGCCCCGCGGTGGACGGACGGACGGACGGACACGAGGACAAGGGACGGACGAGGTGGGGGAACTACGGCTCCAAAGGAGGTGGGTTAGGCAAAGAGCAGGGGGAAACTCTGCTGGGGGAGGGTCCTTCCTACAGCTCTGCAGGGGAGTGGGGCTTCCCAAGGTGTCTCCAGCTCTTCTGGAGCTCCTGGGAGCAGATCCAGGTGGCTGCTGTGAGGATCAGGGCTCTCTGGAGCTCTGGAGCTTTCCCTGCACCTGCAGGAGACCCAGTGGTTTTCCCAGTTAAAAATGGGAGTTTGATGGGGCTGGAGAGCAATTCAGATTTATTAAAGATGGAGGGAGAGACCCACCTTTCTTGATCAGCATCTGACTCCGTTTATTCACTCCATCAATCACTTTTTATAACCGTGTTAATTAAGTTCATGCATATTGCAAACCCGAGCTCACAATAGGTCAGAGATAACACACCAACTCCTCCTTATGTTTCCAATACCAAGATTTGGGTTCTCAAAATTATTTTTGCTTTCCCAAAACAGCCAAAAATAGAATATCTACTTGTTATGAGAAAGCTGCCTGAGAACTCTGGTGTGCCAGGTTCTCAAGGCCTTCATGTTTGTCACTTTTGCTTGTAATTAAAAACAACCTGAGAACCTCTGCTGTTTACAGAAACAGGCTGTGAGAATTTTACTCCTCACAGCTGCCTTCTAAGCCATTTCTGAGAAAATCTCCAACACAGATTCTGTTGGATATGCTGAAGGAATTCCTTCACCATCCTGGGAAAGCTCCACTGAAATCCAGGCTCAAGGAGGAGATCAGAGCACCAGGACGTGGCTCTGCCACCTCCCCTGCACTGGGAGGGAGAGCTCTGGGAACACACCTGGACATGGGAATCCCTCCAGATCCTCTGGAATTCCAGCCCCAAACCCTTCCAGCTCACAGGCCTGGGCTCAGGGGGGTGACAAGTGTCACAAGTGTCACCTCCCCGCCCTGCTGCGGTTCCAGGGAAGCAACAGAAGCCTCAGCTCTGTGGAGCAGAGCTCGTGTGGGAGCAGATCTCCTGTCCCAGACCCCTGGGAGCAGCAGGGAAGGCTCCCTGGAGCAATTTCACTCTTTGGCCCCATGGAAGGAGCTTTGCATGAGCCTGGAGCACCACTGGCCTGGAAAAACGGGAATTTGAGAGAGCTGGGAACCAATTCCGAGCTGGATTTGTGCACTGAAGACCTTGGATCAATTCAGGTGAACGCACAGGACAAGGGACACCACTGGGGTCACCTCATCTGTCACATCAGCCACGACTTGAGATCAGCAAATCCTGAGCCCTAAAACACCAACTGAACCAAGGAGAACAAT